ATAGGGTGGAGGGACAGCGCAGGAGGGGAAGACCCTCTATGAGGTGGATTGATTCAGTGACTGGGGTAATCGGGATGGGTGTGTCAGAGGCAGTGCGATAGTCACAGGATAGAGTAGGGTTTAGGGCTGTTGTACATAGGGTTGCTATGAGTCGCGAACGACTCGCCGGCTCATAACAATAACAACAAACAACCTCCTTCAGTGTTTGAAGTTTTCTCAGAATCACCTTTCTTTTTGCCATCCATCCACTTTTCCTTTTAACATTAGAATAAGTGTTTAACAAATCCTATTAAAGACTTGCACTGTCAACTCAAAGCATGCAGTTCGAATCCATGAGCTTCTCTGTGGGAGAAGGAAGCACATTGTCTTCCTGTGCCATTTATTGCCTCTGAAAACTTTCTGGAGGGTTCTGCTATGAGTGAGTTCCAACTCAGCAATACATAATATTGCTAACTAGATTTCCAACATATGGGAAGTCTCATGTTATTCACTGACAGTATTCTATTTTCAAATGCCCCATTCCATGTGTGGATTAATTTTCAAATTTTTAACAAGATTAGTGTAATTTGCTTTGTAAAACCATGACCATTTTTATTTATAAGGACGTTTTTATTTGTAAGGAAGATATTAGAAGAGTTTCTAACTTAACACAATTTTATCATGCTGTTTGAACTTTTTTGTTTTGTGACTTCACCTTCTACCCAGGATCTCGGAAGGTCAGAGTGTGGAACCGAGAATTTGCTTTGCAGTCAACCAGTGAGTCTGTGGCAGGACTGGGACCAGCCCTTGCATGGAAGTGAGTGGGCGAGGAAACCTTGGAACTTCCTCAGCAGGGACCGTGGATAATGGTGGAGATACCAATTCAGTACAGATGTTTGTGTAACTCAAAGGGATATATACTTTTCTTAACTTGGCTGTAAACCAGTATCTTTCATTTATGTTTATATGTATATGTTTTCGTTTTCTGAAGTCTGAATCTAATGTGAATAGTTGATGTTGATCTTTTTTCAGTTATCTCATTGTTCCAGGGCTCACACATTTTACATTCCTAATTCTTAATTCAATGACTGCTACAGTGGGCTCTCTGTGTCAGGAAGTGTGAGGATGGCACAGGATAGCACAAGGTTGAGATCTTTTGTTTGTCGGGTCGCTATGAGTTGTGCTCAACTTGACAGCACCTACCAACAACAATTCTTAATAAGGAAGCTTTGATGGCTTTGTGGTAAGGAGTTGCACTGCCAACCCAAATGCATGTAGTTCTTGTAAAAAAAAAGCAAAGGCCACTTGAAGACAACTGTATCTGACCTCCCCCATTTCCATAAAGGGGAACTGTCTCCATCAACAGCACCCACAATACAAAACCAATTCCCATGAGGTCAGACATGCTTGCCATGCTCCCACACCTTTTTCTGGCCAAATCTGATGCTATAACTCACAGACCACACAAACATATTAGGGAAGTCAAAAGGCTATATATATAATTCATGTTAGTAGCAGGATACTTTAGTAGTTAGGACAGGTTCCATAATGTGTTTGCAGGTACCTCAGCCTTGAGCCTCATGACTTTAAAACTCTTAGTCCTGCCACCCCCCCAGTTCTCCAGCAAACGTAGGTGAAAGACTCTTAGCTCTGGTTCAGTGGCATAGAAGTCCCAAGGTCTGCTGTGCCTCACATCAGGTGTCTGGTGCTCTTTTTTGGCCACTGCTGCTACTATTGCTTTAAGTCTAGTTGGCAGAAGAATCTCTGGCCCCAAAGGGTGCCTGCTGTCTGCCTGCTTCTTTGCTTGGTGATGAGACTCTTGAATCTGCCTTTCAGCCCGCTTAATTTAGTAACACACCCTATTCACATATTCCCACCCATCCACATGGCAAAATCAAATTCCGTAGCTAGGAAAGTAATTTTGTACAAGAAACTTTTTTTTTAAACAATAAACTCTTGATACCACAAGTTCAAATCCACCAGCTGCTCCACAGGAGAAAGGACCGTCTCCTCCCATGCGATTTACAGCCTCTGAAAACCTGTTGGAGCTAAGACTCAATGACTCGATGGTACATAACAGTAATTTTTGTTAAGAGTACGACAGTAGATAGGCATGTATGAAGCCATATTATAAAATAGAAAAGAGTTCTTGGACATTTTATCCTGCTCATCTTGATGGTACACGTGAAGCTTTTATGAACATTATGGGGAAAGTCCCTTCCTCAGCTCTAAGTCTAAAGCTGGGAGCATCTGCTTGCTGAGGAGTGCACAGACTTGCCTTTGGACCCATGTGCCTTCTTGGCCTAGTAGTACTTGTGTAGATCAGACCTGCCTGTCAGGTGTACTTGTTCTGATTAGAGATCAAAGGGGTAGTGTCTCTCTGTACCATCTCCTTTGTGTAAATGGATTAGGCTTCTAGTATTTAGACATTTTGTTTGCCTCCAGCAGAAAACCAAGTATCAGTTAAAACTCTAGAGATAATATGAACCAGATAAGGCAGCTGAGATGTTTTCAGTGAATTAAGAGATCTTAAAATACCAGCTGGAAAAGGGAATATTTGCTAACATCAGATAGTTGAAGCAAAATTTTTTGGTTATAATTTATGGGTGATTGCACTTGGAATAGTTTAAATAATTACCGGTTTGTTTCTTTAAAAAATCCAACCAAACAACAAACCCATGCTGCTCACATGACATCTAAATGTACAAGGTTCTGTGGGCAAATGCAGCTTTTGCAAATAAAAAAAATTAGAAGAAGGTATACTCATATGTAAATTCAAGCTGAAGCTGAGGAAAATGAAACCAAATCCAAGGCAACCAAAATATGACTTTGAGTCTGTCCCACCTGAATTTCAGGACCATCTCAGGAACAGGTTTGAGGCTTTGAACACTAATGAGCGAAGGCCAGATGAGTTGTGGGAGGATATCAAGGGTATCATCCAGGAAGAGTGCAAAC